GCTAAGTAAGCCCGACAAGCTAAAGGCACTCCCAGCGTACTGGCCTCGCCCGCCTCCGCTGCTTTGTTTGCTCTTCCTGTGACAGGAAAAACTCTCTCTCTCTTGATCACCCTCACTCTCATTCTCCCGCTTCCTCTCTCTCTTTCCCACACTCTCTCTCATGTGGATTTGTCTCCCTCGGTGGGTAGAGCATTAAGCTCCTGCTGTCTGGGTGAGGTGCTTGATTCCCGCTGTGGCCGCTGCGTGCTGCAAATGCATGCACTCTCTCTTAGACAACAAACAACCAAAACAAAAAGAATAATCATTTACTGTTATTAGATTCAATTCAGTTTGCTTGGCAAGCCGAATCTAACGTAAATGAATCCAATAAAAGGTGAGATGAATCCCTCCTCACACTTCAAATTGCTACATCTCCTGTGTGAAGTCTGTGGAATAAACTATCCTCAGGCTGTACATCCACCACCTTGTACTCTTAACACACAGTCAAACACCTCGTGCTGCCACCTGGCCTCTCTCAGTATCAACCAGCAGCCTCCTGATGGGCTCAGTAACAGCGAAGCAGTGGGCAACTTACACTCTGTCCTGTAAAGCTTGACGAGGTTATTGATCTTAGTTTAGCAAACAGAGCACAGCTGGCCTGAATGGGTGACGCCGTCTGTCTGATCATGAATTACCACAGAGCTGCAGTCATCCCTTATACAGTCAGCCAACCACGCTCCCTCTCTGTCCGTCTGCTGCAGCATTTGACGATGGAGTCTATTATTGCACACACGCAAACACACACTCTTTACCTTGATGTCATATCAGTTCCCTAGGGAATCTCATCATCGAGCCGCCCATCTGCTCCCCACCCCCTACACCTAAATCCTACTTCTGATACGCTGCAATTATCACACACAGATATAGGCAAACACACACACACACACACACACACACACACACACACTGGAGTCTTAACCCTGTTTACCTGTGGTGTGGTATCATCCTTGCTGTAGGTGTTTTACAGGTCAGTGGACTCATCAGACTTATTGTCAAGGTGAATGTGGCGCAGAGAGTGAAGAGAAGATAGAGGCGGGCTGTGAAATAGAGGAGTAAGACTGGAGCGGTGTGTGGTGGTTTTGAATTTAAAATCACCCAGAAATCCACTTGGCTTAAATTCTTTATAAGGCTAGCAAGGAGATGATGAGTTGTGTTATGCAATAAAGAGGGTACAACACTAGTGTTTTTGCTTTAAAGTGGGCTGTTGGGTGGAATTATGTTGTGTGATGATCAGATGGGTCAAAAGTAATTGAAACTGGGCCGTAGGTTTTAGGGAAAGCGGCAGCTAAGTCTTTCCTCATTTCTTCACCTCTACTGTGTGCTTAGAAGTGAGGAACAGACTTGTGTTTCTGGTCTTCTGGTGCACAGACTACAGATCTTGTGGATGTGGATGTGTTACATCATCGTATTATCAAACAGGTGACTGTGATAGTGTATTCCCGTCATGTTGAGAAATGTAAACAATCAATCCCTTGAGTGATTTTGTCAGTTTTGACTGATATGAATGTGGATTGATATACCTATATTTTAGGTCTCACCGATGTGTGTGTATGACATGTTGTTGACAGTGAAGAATGACTCTACATTCGACCATAATTAAACTCCAAACTGAGATGCAAATGTGGAACTCAGTCACTGTCATAGTGTTCTGGGCAATATTGGACAATATATCATTGGGTAACCCGTCTGCCCATCTTGTGTTGTATTTAATGTTGTACGAAACGAGTCACTTTATGTATTTGTTTGATGTGGATTTTTTGTGACATTCCGACCACTCAAAGCGCTTTTACACTACGTGCCACATTCACCCTTTGACACCCATTCACACAGTGAATGCAAAGTCCATCGGACAGAAACTAACATTCATACACATTCATCGGGGGCAATTTGGGGTTCAGTATCTTGCCCAAGGATACTTCAACAACCCACAACCTTCCGATTAAGGAACGACCCGCTCTGCCTCTAAGCCACAGCCGCCCTGGCTACAGGCAATCATGATCCGCAGAGGATCAATCTGTAGATTTTTATAATCCTTGACTTTTCCTAGCACCATGAGACGGACATTTCTGGTGAAACATCTCAACTTTAATAGTTTTAGGGATCCCACTAAATTCCATCATCAGGTAAAATTGTCCATTACTTGTACCTGTAAAACTGACATTCCCATCAGCCCCAGCTGTATTTTGTGTTTAGTGCTAATTAACAAATGTTAACATGCTCACACACCAAACTAAGATGGTGAACGTGCTAAACATTTTACCTGCTAAACATCAGCATGTTAACATTTTCATTGCGAGCATGTTAGCATGCTGACATTAGCAATTAGCTCGAAGAACCACTGTGCAGTCTCACAGAGCTCGGCATGGCTGTAGACTCTTAGTCTTATCTAAACAGAAATGAATTTATGGAATTGATCAAGCAATCAGTGTTGTTAGTACTATACGTTGATGATAAGTTACATAGATATCAGACATAGGCCGTTGATGCAGCAGCTTGGAGACCCTGGAGGTCTTGAGGAGGTGCAGATCTTAATTTGTCTCCAGTGAAAATATACAATTGTTGGTACACTGAGTATTGTACTGAGATTATTACACAATTTGTGAGTCTAAAGAAATACCTGATGGTTTGTGAAGATTAGTGTAAAGCAACAGTTCTGCAGCTGGGATGTGAGATCTTTGATGTTCACCCTCAGACGCTATTATATAATTAAAAGAAAGGTTACTAAACTGTGTTCATCCTCATTTTGTCTGGCGTATACTCTGTATGCTTCACTGTATTCTCTGAGGCAGAAGGAGCAGATGTTTATGGCTATTTTGCTTGTCCAGAGAGTGGGCTTTGGTCCTTGGTTAACCTGTAATGACAGCTCCGTCCCTTCGGTGCAAGAGATGCGTCATATTTGTACTGAGGATGTCTCATAATGTGCTCTGACACAGCGATGGACGACCTCTGGATTGTGCGATAGCAATCAGCTGTTCTGTTTGGAGACCAGAGGAATTAATTTACACTTCTTTCATTCTGCCAGCCTTGGCCTACAGTGCTGTTATCTCATTGTCAACAATATCAGATGGATATTATTGACAATAACCCACTGCCTGTGTTATCTTGCAGAATGGACCACTGAACCTGAACATTGACTCTCTCTCATCTCTTTTATTTTTTTAATTTAGTGTCGCTGTCCTCTTTACATATTTCTCCCTCTCGTTTTCCAGCTCACTCCTCTCTCTTGCTTTGCCTCCTATTCCTTTGTTTTAGCTCCCATCACTGTATATCCCTTCTCTCTTTTCTCTCCATCCTCCAAATCTCCCATTATGCTCTTTCAAGGGATAAATACTTGGATGTGCTTGGCTGCTGTTACTTCTCTTACAGTGATTGAGTTTCTTTCTTTAGGTTTTCATCATTCGTGTTCCACCCCCACTGGGCTGCGCTTTCATTTCTTTGTAAACTTTGTCCGCCCACGGCCACCGGTGTGTTTATGACCTAAAATTGAATTTCCTCTTGGCAATAATTTTCCAACCATATGGGGGAAAGTAGCCCGGAGTATTCTTGAAGCACTTAAAGCAAATGGATCATGTTTCTCCTTCCATTGCTTTAACACCAATTATGCAATCCTACTGAGAGTTGGCTACAAAAAAGATGTCCGTGTTATCTTTTCCTCGTATATGAAGGACCTTATAATATTGTGTAATTTTTTAAATGCATCAAAAAAAAAAAAATAAGAGTCTCATGATACAAGGCATATTTGGATGGCATCATTTCACAATAGCTGTGCATGCTTTTAGGGAAAGCAGCCTTCTGTTTTCATTCCTTTAAGGGTCAATGTAACAGATAATAAGAAGAAGAATTGTGTAATACAGTATACCATGATACCATTAAATCTTGATATTGTCTGAGACACCGTACTGTGAAAATATCATAGCGTTACAACCCTTCCATATAGCACGCTCATCAGGTCAAAAATGAGATTTTTCAAATACTTCGGTTATTGACCAAAACTACTGACATTCCCATTAGGGCTGTGTATTGGCAAGAATCTGGTGATACAATATGAATCATGACCCAGGGCTTACGATTCAATATATTGCAATACTGTAAGCAACACGATTTAAAAGGTGATTTAAAAAATATATATATTTTAGGAAAACTATAGTACAAAGAACGCACCATAATATGCATAAAAACAAGGTCTACTTTTGTTTGCATTTGTATTTATTACGGTGTCTGTAACATCCCACATTATAGCCCTCAGTTCACGTTTACAACACTGCTATCTCAATACTGGTTTAGGGTTTAAATACAGAAATCAATCGTTTTTGAGAATCAATATTTTTTTATATTTTTTAACAGCCCTAATTCCCATCAACCTCAGGTGTACTGACCTGTGTAGTAGTGCTAGTTAGGAAATGTTGGCATTTAGCTGTTTCTAAGTACAGCCTCACAGAGCCGCTAACGTGGCTGTAGTCTTAATTTGCTGCTGTGACACGATCTCGCCCACGTTATCAACTTCTACCAACAGTTCATTGTCTGAGTTCAATTCCCAAAACCTTTAATATGTGTCATGGCCGGGGTGTTTGTGAGTATCAAGGTGTGTACCAGCCTGCATCCAGACCTTTTGTGAGGTGTCGTATATCGTGGGAATGTTAAGAGGATGAGGGAGTGTTTTTGCCTTTGTGGTAAATATCTGTGTTTATGTCTGGTACTTTTAACTGGATGTGTGAAGTAACCCTAGAAGACACACACACACACACACACACACACACACACACACACACACACACACACACACACACTAATGCCTTTGAACAGAGCACCAATGGAACAACGCTCTTTGTGGTTGTCATGGAAATGACAGATGTGACAGCTGGAGGGAAGACGTGCAGGGGGCATTATGGGATGTTTGGAGTTGTTGTGTGACAAGTAGAGCGTCACCTAATCTTGTGCCTGTTTACTGTTTGTTCCCACAGACCTATCTCCTGGGAATCATAATCTCCATATGTGGGAATGTCCTCATCAGCATTTCACTCAACATACAGGTAGGAAGCGCTGGAATCCAGCTGTACAGCAGACACTCGGCACACAGCAGGCACTTAATTTTTCCACTCTGTAGTGAGACTGCCTTTCTTCTGACAGTTTGCTCTGTCTTTAGCAGACTCTCTATGTGTTCGGAAGGATTTTAGTGAACGTACACGTTCACAGCGGGCATTGTGCAGCAGACAGAAGAGATGACTTTGTATTTCATGCTAATGAAGCCTATTTGAATTAGAATTCTTAGAAGTGAATGTTTAAAGAAAATCTATTTTAATTGAATGTAATGATTAGCAATAATCAGTGCGCTCATAATGTGTCCTTGATGCCTTATCGGCACTATTTCAAGTTAAGTGTTTGCAATTGTTGTTGAGCTGCATGCTCTTAAATAATCAATCCAAGTCATTTAGAGAGTAAATGTATCTCATTAATGTCAAGCCTACACCCTCTATAGCCTCTACTAGACTGACAGGCTTTAGAGGCTGTGTTGATTGTTTTAGAGGTATAAAAACATAAATGCTTTTATACCTCTAAAACGGTCATTGTTTTTTTTCCACTGCATGATTCAGATAATACCAAAATAACGTCTGCTGCTCAATTACACGCTGTGTAGCATATGCAAAAACTCTTTTGATGCAGGTGCAGAGACTGTGGTGTTTGTGACAGCGGCGTGCAGGGTGTGTAAGACAGATTGAGAGGGTGTGACAGCTTGAACTAAATGTGAAAAAGTGCTGGGAAAGGCTGACAGCCGTTGTTTATTAGGCAGCGTAAGCTTGCAAAGATAGAATTGTTAATGATTATGAAGTATACATTTGTGTTTTGCCTTGTACAGCTTCCCACCTCATTGATTTCCTTAATTGGTGTCATGTCTCTTCTGAGATGAAATGCTAATCAGCAGAGGGTGTTATGGTTTAGTTTTCTGAGTCTCTGTAATGCTGTAGCATCTCTTAAATTGCACCTTGTGTTTCAAGTGTTACATACAGTATTGTCTGTGAGGTGTATCTTTGAGTTTGTAGCGCTCCAGTTATTAGATCCACTTAATCTGACTAATGCTTCAGGCTCCTGTTCCCTCTCTTCCTGACAGAAATATGCCCACGTCCGTCAAGCTCAGCGTGGCTCCAAACCCTACTACACCTCCGGGATGTGGTGGTGTGGTGTGGTTCTCATGGGTGTCGGGGAGCTGGGGAACTTTGCTGCCTATGGCTTTGCCCCAGCATCACTCATAGCCCCGCTGGGCTGTGTGTCTGTCATAGGTATGTGCAGCCTTTTTTTTTTTACCCTCATACATTATCCATGCATGAAGGCAGGAGGAAAGGTTGCTTCCTTGGGGAACAACAGGAATCGTTGCCATGTGAAGTTCTTTTTCTGAACGGCTGTGAGTGACATACCAGTACCATACTAGTACCAGTATCTACTGTTTACTGGAAAATTGGAGAACAAAATCATAAAAAGATGAAATATTAGGACAAATTTAACCAAAGAGGTCAAGCTTGTAACAATGGGACTACAAGAAGACCACTAAAGATCATACACCTAAAATGTTGAGTTCTGTTTTATATCACTTAAAATGTCCTGATTATGTTGGCAGCTGAAACTGAACTCAGATCAAGTGATCATCAGTGAATTAAAGGTCCAGTGTGTAACATTTAGGAGGATCTACTGGCAGAAATTTAATATAAAATGCATAAGTATGTTTTTCTTAAAAATAAAGAATTTTTTTTAGTTACCTTAGAATGAGTTTTATATCCACACATGCACAAGATTATTATTATATATAATTGTTAAGATTATTTCTCAAATTTTTATTTTTATTCACTTTATTTAGCAAGCTTTCGATCTGACCTTAATCAGAGCAACTCTAGACCTAAAGGTGTAGAGAGCTGGCATCCAAAAGTTTTAAACTGCAACAATGCTTCTGTTCTTTGGTGTATCTCTGCTCTTACGTATTTTAAATATCAGTGCATTTTAACAGCATCTTGTTCAAATACCAGGACATGAAAATGGACTGCATTAATGAAGTTCTGTATCTACAGTAGTAGTACTGTTATTTCTATCCTGTGTATCACGACTACACATCTACCTACACAGGCAAGGCCGATAGGTCTTCATTTCATTCAGTGGAGTCTCTCACGCTTACAAATGTGCTTTAAAAAGAAACGTCCCACTGTTGCTTTATGCTGTTGCTTTTGAGAATAAATTAAAACCGAGACCTTGTGATCACAGCGGGTCAGTTTGTAGGTGCATGTGTTATTTTTGACTATTCTTCCAATTTATATCCAGCACTGGAGCCAGAAGGTGAATATGTGCATTTCCATGCTTCAAATTTTATGGGTGATTCAGGAAGTCCAATTACTTGGGATATTATAAACCAACTTCCCACTACAGAAATGATCATTTTTACAGCCCACTGTGTGAACTAAACCTGTCATGAACTAGGCCGGATTCATTAGCCAATCAAAACAAAGCCTGCCCGGTTGCTACAGCTGGCAGCTGGCTCAGTGCAAACACTCTACTTTACCTCAGGTTAAATATTGAACAAGTTCACTTCTTACCTCCTGCCACCCATCACTCACCACGCTGGAGGTGGTGGTGAGTCATGGATATTAATGACAGCTATTACCCCGACGCTTCCAACGATTTTCCTATAGTCACGTCTCACAAGTGGATGAATGGTTTAAATAAAGCACTGAACGAAACCACAAATCTTGTTAAGAAGGCTGCGCCTCTTGTTCATTGTAGTCGTGTACGGTGTACTCGCTTCACTGAGCAATTACTTCATAAAATGCTTTTACCACAATAACAGGACTAAAGCATGATACTCGAATGAGAGCAGTGACCTCTCAGAGATGTGTCAGTGTGTGTAACCTTGACATGATGGCTCTCTTTGAAGCCACAGGTATTAACAATTACTGTGCTCATTTCCATTTTACTGTCATTGTGATCCCTATAAAAACACTGATTGCTAGACACTAGTGTTGCATTGGTGTGTGCATGAATAATATGCAGCTGAAGAGCGTCTTGAAGAATTAATGAAGTCAGAGATGAAGAGGTGAAAGGAGAGGAAGATGTCTGCAGCGGTGACACGGTCTGTCCTCAGAGCGAACAAGAGGAGCTGAGGGGGGAATGTGCAGGTTGCTGTCTGCCATCGTGACTCCTCCTCTCACCTCTTACTGACTCACACTGTATGCAAATGTGCAAACGCACACACACAGGCACACACAAATGCGTACATAACTGTAGTGGCGGGTAAAAACACCCAGGTCTAGTGGATTTATCTTTTTTTTTTGACCAGAGATGCTACACACACACACACACACACACACACACACACACACACACACACACACACTGCTCCTGTTGCACTGTTGTGCATACTAAGAGCTGCGTAGGGGGGGATGGGGGGGGCAGTGGGAGGCCTTGGGTGAGTAAACAAGAGGGAGGCAAGTAGTTGGCTTGGGTGTAGGAGAAAAGAGGTTGGATGCTGAGGGGAGAAGATGATGAGGTGAGAGGAAGCCAGGCAAAGGAGAGGAGAGAATGAATGAAATAAGACAACAGGCAGAGATGTGTACGGAGTGGAAAGCAGAAGCAGAGGAGGAAAGGGACGAGATCGGGAGAGCTGATGATGCTGCTGTCATCCGCTTTTCCCTGCATGTCACACTGGCACTCTGACGCTCCATGGAGAGCAATTACTACTGTCCCCATCCACAGAGCCCACCAGTCTCTATTAGGAATGACAGCATCATCCTCAAATGCTGTTGTATGGAGCAGAGCATCAGCTCCCTCCGTCAGATACCATGTCATCACATGCAAAAGAGACGGGAGGTCGGCATGGTGGAAATAAACAGAAAACTGATTCACACACTGCATCAGCATCGCTCTCAGATGTCAGACCTGCAGCACTGTACCATTGACTAAGATGTGTTGTATAGCACCGTGTGGAGCAGTCAGATTCCAACATGTACATTGGAAAATCAAGGTATCATTACAAAGTTATGTTTGTCATTCAGACCTTTGATTTTTATAAGGTAATCTGTTATGTTATAAAACTATATATAGAATCTATATATTACTACATTTGTCAAGAGTTTCTGAAAGCCAGTCTTAATACACTGTTTTTTTTCACAGAACAACCTTTTAAAAGTCAGTATTTTTTGTCATTTGTGACACTGTGAACATACAATATGTGCAATGTGGCAACAGTTCTTACATTTGGGCTTCTCTGGGAGATGACAGCTTAACTTTTGCTGCTTTCATCCGTACATGTCAGATACGGGTGGTGAAAGAGTGTTTGACATGGTGTGTTTTCCCACAGGGAAGTTCCCATCAGCACACATCTGAGAGAGAGCATGTAGAGGGGCAGTACTGATCTAAAGCACACACACACAAACTCACACACACCCCTCCGTAAACACACAGGAGCAGTGACAGAACTGTGTACCCCAGAGGTTCCTGTTGCCACATTTCTCATTTTATCAAGCCGTGTGAATCGCACTTTGTATGGAGTTGCTATGGTTACTTGTTAGATCCAGCTGGTCCCAGAGGCAAAGAAGGAGTCCTAAATGTGTATGCGAACATGCTCGCAGTATGAAATATTTAACAACCGACTGTTTCATCAGAATACCAACGAGGGCCTTTATAAACTTCCAATTTGTCCCTGCGGCGTTGCGCACACCCGTACCTTGTTTCAGCATGATATTGTTTAGCCACTGAGCATACCTGAATGGAAGATTCTTATATAACTTGAATCTTTATGTTTTTTGTTTATAGTAAAGCTTTTCATGGCTTGGGTTTATTAGTGTTGCCTAAAATTGACCCTCAGGTGGAAACGTTTGCTAATAAAACTGCAATTGTGCTGTACAGTCAGTGTCTAACATTCATGCTGAGAACCTGTCCCCCGCATGACATGCTGTGTGTCTGACATATTGAGCTGTTTATGCTCTGCAGCTAATCTCCTTATGATGGTGGCAGAGCCTGTACACAAACTCAAACTGCCTGTCTGTCTGTTTTTCAGTATTTTGCAGCAATTTGTCCATTCAATTAGTCTGCCTCTGTCTCCGTGCCATCACCTGTACGCCTGGCTGGCTGGCTGACTGGCAGTGGCTCATTGAAGTTGTGTCCAAAATCTCGCCACAGACACAGCTGGCTCTGCTGAAATATTGGTGGAATATATAACAACATAATGGCAGAAAAGGATGTAAAATTACTCAATAGTGTTGTTAAGTGCTGAGGACCTCCAACACAGCAGCCACAGTGTATTATATAAGCTGACCTCCTCACTGTGACAGGCTGCTGTCACTTGCATGTCTATTTGCCTCCCTGTCAGTCTGTCCACTGCCTGTTTGTCTGCTAGTTTGTTTTTCTGTCTCAGGCAGTTAGTCCGCCTGTGTGGCCATCCATCTGTGTATCTGCTTGTTTATCTGCATGTCTGTGCGTCTGCATGCATATCTGCCTGTCTCGCTATACAGCCAAATGCTGTATGTTTATTCCATTCGGTGCATATCCCGGGGAAACATTAAGAAGACTAATCTGAGGCTTAGCTCGTGTGAAACTGATTGCTTTTCAGCGTCGCAGTTTCTGACAATGATATTGATGAATGGGGAGTTGAAGAATGTGCAATGGAATAGCATCTTGCTGTAATTTGATGCTGGTGTTATGAAGTCCTAATGAGTTCCATTTATCTAAGCGAGGTGACAGATTTTATCAGGCTGATCAATATAAACATGTCAAGTAATGTGTGTTCATCATGTGTGCATGTATCTGATCATGTGGACATGCATTTATATGGTATAGTGTGCATGACTGAGTGCTTGTATGTATATGTAACTGCATATCATTTGTGTATACATACAATATACACATCCCAGTGATATTCTCACATTGCATGCTGCACAGTAATATCTGTTTACTCCTCTTCCAGTTACAGTATACATGTATATAATAGTGTAGTCTGTTTCCAACACTATTGATTAAATAATTGGTATTTTTATCAAGCCAATATTCAAGCAAGTATATGATCTTGCTTGTGATTAAACTGACTTGTTGCATGAAAAAAACAATCAATTCCAAATATGAGCTTACAGAAAATGGTTGAACACCAAGTATGCTTTTATCGTCCAGGGACAAGCTTTGGTTGTTGTGTTGTTATGTGATAAACAGCAGAGAGCAAGCTGATTTTAATCTACAAGGTAAATTATTTGGTGTCTAGACTGTTAAATTGATTTAAACAAACTACAGTGTGAGTATAAAACTGTGTTGAAGTTCAGATTATACTGTACTTGACTGAATGGTAACTGTGGCATGTTTTATTGGCAGTTAAACTAACAGGAATATATTTTCACTTCCCAGCCAGCGCTGTCATATCTGTGATATTCCTCAAGGAGACGGTGCGTGCCTCTGACATTGTTGGTAAGCACACTCGAGGATCATAGCACTTGAGGACATGCAGTACGTGCTTTCTCAGTTTGACTTGAGGAGTATCATCTTAGATTTCAGATATATCAAAGTGACTTCATAGATTATCTCAGTGTGAGAGGAAACATAGTTCAGCCTGACTGAGATAGAAATCAAACATTTAATCCTCTAGTTAAAAAGTCTAATGGCTGTGTGTTGCTGCCAGTGGAAAGAAAAGGCACAATCTGTTCAACAGACCCATCCTATTTTATTGTTTCATGAAAAGCTATTGTGTTTCATAACAATGTGTAGAGCCTGCTGTTGAATGACATAATTGTGATGGCCGTCACAATGACGATCATTACAGCTGCTAGATTGGAAATTAATATCAGCGCCACACAGGCCTGCATAGTGTTGGTTTACTAGATAAATCATCAGCAATTGTTTTGCCACTTTTGCTATTGTATTGTTGCAACTGCAGAGAGACATTATCAGCCACATGTTGGAAACATTTAATTGCTGAATGTTTTATTTATAAAGGGGGGAAATCACTGAAAACAAGCTGTTGTTCAGCAGTGCCCCATTTGCAAAGGCTTATACAAACCAACAACAGATGTAAAATGTAAAAGGTAATAGTTAAAACGACAAAGAATACATGAAAACTAAACTAAAGTTACATTAAGCGTGTTGTTTCATTGAGTAAGGTAAATGTCAAAGTCAATGGATCTGTTAAACCAATATGAAAAAAGCTTTTCACTACAGTCTCACCACTCTGCTCTCTTTCTCTCTTCATAGGTGGCACCCTGGCGATAACAGGAACGTATCTCCTGGTGACCTTTGCCCCCCACAATACCACTCACATCACAGCCCATCTGGTCCAGTACTATGCCGTCAGCTGGCACTTCCTGCTTTACTTTGTACGTGAGCCTTTATAACTCTCCTGCCTGAGATCAGTACGTGTGAGCGTGTTGCCTGGGAGCTACTGTTTGTATGCCCAAATGGGTTACAGTGTATTGTAGTGTACTTTTAGCAGCACACCACTGAAATGTCCTCAAACAAGTCGCTGTGTACATAGCAGCTCTTGTCCTGCTGTTAGTTAGCTTCTCCCAACCTTTAGACGGGGACTACTCTCAAGGGTTAATTAAAGTATGAATTTTTTATTAATCCTCTGTCAAAGAGTTGAAGTCCAGTTGATGAACAACCTGACCTCTGAGGATGAGTCAATTAATCCTTGGACCCATAAAAGATCCCCTCTTCTTCTTGTTCTTCTGGGCCACATGGAGTGGGGAGCAAGTGCGTCAAAACTAAGATTGTCCGGTTTTTGCGCTCAGTATTAATAAAATACTGCCCCCACCTCATGGTCTGCAAGTGCATTAACACTCACCCATGTGCTCTCCTATTGCAATATCGCTCCAGGCGAAGGTGGCATAAACATAGCCCGTTACCATAGCGACAGATCTGGTACAGAACTGAAAACAAAGTGTTTCCCTCCAAACCTACTCATCGCAAAAAATGTAAATGTTGGCTCCAAATGTTAACGCCGGTCTTGGTCGAAAAACACCTTCGATGTTTTTTAAAGGAAGATTTCTGCAGCAGAAGGTCACATCCTGCTGCTTTTCCATTGATGCCTGTGTTCCCGTGATAGCAGCAGCAGAGAGAGGGAGCTCTGTATTTTCCAGCTTTAAGGTTAAACTTCTCTTGTGGAAACACTGTGCTTGGTGTAATTCAAGAGTGAGGAGTAAAGAGAGAGAGAGGCAGTATTTTTTGCTAGAAAGTGTGACACTTTCTATCTGTTCTTCAGGAAGCTGTGGATCTGTAGCCTATTGCACATTGTAAATGTATATATATTTTTTTACCTCTATAAATTATGCAAAATCACCTCTTAAAAAATAATCCTTCTGTGAAGCGTACAGTGATTTTACTGACACTGTCAGAGAGTTGTTGATTCAACTTGTTATTTTGTCATGGCACCAAATCTCTCCAAAATCCTGAATATTCCCTTTTACTGTTTGTGGAACAACCGATTATCTGCACATAATCCTTCAAACCAGGCACAGATGAATCTAAAAGGATAACAGCTAGCGGCTCATCAGGGGTGCTAGCCAGTGGTGTAAACAGTGAATGTGTGCCCTGGGTAGCAGTGCCATCATTATTCACCGCACAGCATTTCTCTCAACCATAATTCCACATTTCGCTCTTGAGTCTAGCTCTCTCTGCTGAACCAATGCAAACACACTCGGGGAAGAAAATAGCAGCTACTGGAGGAAAAACAAAAGAGAAAATGTTCAAGCTCATATTAGGAAAATACAGATGGATGGATAGACAGACAGATGTTTTCAAATTGAGATAGCCTTGCTGCCTCTGGCTGCAGTGATTGATGGTGTGTAAAAGGGTATGCTGTTTTCCATTCCTGGCAATGCATTGTGAATACTCATCAGCCTGCGGAGGAACAGCCTCCAACAGTATGGGATTAACTGATTAATCAGAAGGAAAGGAAATATCTGTCATTGTCTTCTCATTATTTCCAGAGGTCAAATGATTTCATCTGAAGGGACTATTAAACAGTTCTGATGTGTGTAGCGATAAATGGTGTTTCTTGCAAATGACCCAGGTCTTTCTAAATCCATTTCCAAAAATCATGAAATGAACCCTCTATTTAACATATTTATAGAGACACGGAGGAGTTTGAGACATTTAAAGGTCAGCTTGCCCTTTTTCCCTCAATTCTACTTCTGTACTCCGTCCATTAGAGCTGTGTGGTGTTATATCAGAGGTCCTTGAACAGCTGAATGCTATTGGACTCACAAGGACAGCCCTGGGCCCTTCTCGTTAAAGACCAGCAATTCATTTCATGCCGCGGTCATTTGTTTCAATTAAAGCGTGCCACTCGCTGCCTGCACACAGCACTTTCTTATATAGATAAAATGGTCAGTAAAAGTACAATTCAAGTGCAAGTCAGATTTTCTTTGTCTGTGCAAAGTTTGAGGAAACAGAATCTGCAGTAACGATTTCGATCTTTCTCTCAACAGTTTATAGAGACCGTCATCTTTTGCATCCTGCTCTATCTGTACAAGAGGAAGAATGTGAAGCACATCGTCATTGTGATGCTGCTGGTGGCCCTGCTCGGTATGAACAAATGGAAGCTGCCTGATTGAGGGCAAGGTTATGGATTAAACCATTTTGGGGAGTCAGAGGTTGCTTTGTTGCCTGGCTACCAAAAATGGGCCCTTGCTCCGTTATCGTTTCAGTTAAGAGCTGCGTAGAGCACGATGGAAGAAAATAATTCACCAAAACTCACAAGGAGGCAATTAACTACCCCCACGAATCAGCATGAGCCAATGAGGAAGTTCTTTATAGCTACAAGTTGTACAACTAAGTGAAGCTGAAGTGTTGTGTTGCTTGTGTGTTGCTGCAGCCTCTCTGACAGTCATCTCAGTCAAAGCTGTGTCAGGGATGATCACAGAGTCAATAAAAGGCCAGCTGCAGCTCATCTACCCCATCTTCTACGTCATGCTTGTCGTCATGATCGTCTCCTGCGCCTTCCAGATCAAGTTAGTCAAGGTTTTCTTTCTCGCTACTTCTGTGTACCTTCTTTTTTTCTCTTTCAGCCTGTTTTTGATTGCTCAAATCCCACAGGCTGGATGCAATTTTGGCTTTCCAGTTCTTGAACAAACTGAGGAAAATAACACATTGGACATGGTGACATTGTACCTGCAGCACACCTACTGTATTATGATGGATGAATAGGCCTCTAGATATTGGTCATTATATTCACTGCACATCTCAACTATTCTTTTCTTCCCTTGCTACAGATTTCTCAATCAGGCAATGAAAATGTTTGATGCCACAGAGGTGGTTCCTATCAACTTTGTGTTTTTCACCGCAAGTGCCATTGTTGCAGGTATGTCAGCCATAAAGCTGTCACTCTCTGTGGGTTTTACTCACTGCCGTCTGTTTTCCTGTTGAAATGATAGGACAGTCTCATGAAAAGACCAAAAATAAACAATGAATTGATCCAGTACTTCCTGCATAGCCTGATATAGCGTATTCTGTGCTCCACAGGTCCAAAACTTATTAAAAACACATCACTGAGCCGCCCTGTGAACTGGGTGACATGTTCCTTTATAGCTACTGTAGTTTATTTTGAGTCAATCCCACATACACTGTCTGGGTGCCACGTATACTCACTAGCAAATAAAAATCTATAGCTCCAAACTGTCCCAAACAAATATATCATTCATTCATGCTGAAAATTACCGAGTCAACAACAATGCTAGCAGAAACAGCGATGCCTTGAGCTAAATGCTAAGATCAGCATGCTAACATGTGTACTGTGTCAATGCCTACAGGCTGATTTTTGTTTAGCATGCTAATATTTGCTAATTGACACTGAATACTATTAAAGCTGCAGCAGGTAACTTTTTATAAAACATATTTTTTATCATTTGTTTTCACAGATTATCTGTCTCATGTACTGTGAGGATATAGTGGAAGTTTAAGCAAATATGACTAAAGGACACAAACAGGGCAGGGAAGGCAGAAGGTATTGCGATACAATTGTTAGATTTGGTCTTTTTATTTTATTTTTGGCAGAAAGAAAAAAACTGCCTCAGCAGCAATAGTTCTATGGGGGATATTCTTTCATAACAAACTCAACTTTTTTTTTTAGTAGGAAACACCTTTTCTGATGATGATGTTCACTGCAGTAGTTGAAATCGATTCATGAAGCAACACAGTGGAACGTAATACACAGTCAAGATGGTGATTCATTCCTGTATCTGTGAACCACTTAGGAGTCCTTGTTCAGCAAAAGCCCTACACTATTTTTAGTATGTGTATTCTACCAGGTCAGGTCTATATTATCCTGTCAGTAATAGTGCCGTTTGTTCAATCTGAAAAAATCAAGACAGGGCTTCTCAAAACCTTTTAGTCTTGAGCGAAAAAATACACCCTAAAACACTTGATGATTTAAACCCATTTTTGACAATGGACCTTACATTACCAAATCCATGTTCTTGTTTGCTATTCTTCTACCACTGGTGACGTGACGTCATTTGAAGCTATTTCCAGTGCTGCTTCAGTGAAGTGTAAGAGCAGAAAATGTTCCAGCAGTCCAAAACATCAACAGTATTCATCTGCTTTTGGTGTCAGTCTGTTAGAACAGAAGAACATCAGCCTCTTTCCACCACTTTGCACTGATGTCCCATAATCACACAGGGAGCCATCCATCATAGAGGAGGGAGCGCCACAAGGCATGTGGTGATTTGAGTTTCTCTCACCTTTTTCTGAGAATCTCCTGCTCTGATATTGCTCTTGGTATTACTATTGCTCTCTCCACCTACACACATAACCCACAATTGACTGCATTGAACAACAATTTGCTGATGTATTATATCTGGGGGTGGACCTTTCCTTTACGATTAGCTTTGTTCCACATTGAAGAACATTACCATTTTTTTCTCCTAACCTGGTGGTGGTCACATCAGAAGACTGGTGGACTGAAGCAAGCATGTGATCACACAAAAGTGAAGACGACACGCAGTTTCAAGTCTTTGCCAACCTTCGCCTATTGGAAAGGTCACTGAGAGGAAATTGTTTTTTTTACTGGATACTCAGAGGGTTAGTCATGATCCTGGACATTTTCTGTGTTGCTACTCATCTAAAACTATGTATATAAAAAAAGACTATTTTCTCTCCTCATCCAAGTGTAATGTGTGCTCAGGATTTGCAGAGCTATGTTTCACAAACAAAGCATTTGAGATAATTAAATCTATTTTAATGTGATTTTTCATTTTGCAGGGATAGTATTCTACCAGGAATTTGAAGGCTTGGCTTTACTGAACATTTTTATGTTTCTTTTTGGGTAAGTATTGACACACCAGTAATTGCAACTTAAAATGTGGTATTTACTGTACGATGGTATCACTCCTCCCTAAAACTCTTTTCCAGCTGCGTTCTGTCTTTCCTTGGAGTTTTCCTGATAGCCCGAAACAGGCCAAAAATAAAGCAGCAAGATCGTAATTTTATCGCAATGGATAGGATTCCTGGTGAGTTTTTTTATTTTATTTTTTTTATAAACTCTTCACAATATAGTGCTGACCTATTTGTAAGTATGGTGTATTGATAAGCTGGCAGTGACAGTATGAATGTGGTGGCAGTGACCCTGGATTTATCTGACTGCTGGTGTCTGCAGCCCTGGCAGCAGGGTCCATCTAATGAGCTCTGCTGTCCGTGTTCACAGGGAGAAGCCACACAGACAAAGTGCAGCCCGAGGCAAAGACTCCGACATACGGATCACTGGCAGCCAAACTCATGTGCAACAGAGCTGGCCAAACAGATGATACATAGGACCTGCTCCATCTGTTGGGACTGTAATTGTGAGGATTTGTCTGTACATGTTTCTTCCTGGGTACTTCAGTAATATCTTTATTTATAGAAATAAAATTGTGGGCACCAATTCAAACCAGTGCCAGCTGAGCAGCAGTATTGGTGGCCATATTGGTCTTATAATGTCAAGTATCTCTTTCAATATCAGTGTTTCTCCAGAGTTAACAGTACTTTCAGCAGGGTTGCCAGGAATAACTGATGAGGAAAAATTGACTCTAAATGAGATGAAAAACCTCAGGATCACAGTGCAAGCCCAAAATGCCGGACTTGCAACAACATTTAATTAAAAAAAAACAGTCCAGGAGCCAACTGTGACATATGCCCTCCTATATAACATATGTATATTGTTAATGAATAAATTGGTGTTTGTGTGATCCATTGTCTATAAACAGACAAAATCTGATGTTTTAACAGTCTAAAGATTTCATGTCATACGGGAAAATAAGTGCACTACTGCCCTCTAATGGTGGGGGAAGCTCAAAGATGACCAGGCAATTTTGTGTCGTGTTAGTCTGGGTTGAAGTGAATTTACTGAATTTGAATGAGTTCAGTGGTAGTTATATAAACCTTCCCTCGTGGCTGATCAGTGAAAGTTGCTCACGTTTGTATGGCAGGTTTTTATTTGTGTGAAAAACTTGCGCGTGCGTCACTCTGAAACCCGTTTCCATGGAGTTGTAATATAACTCATCTAAAAAAGCACTAATGCACAGCCTGCCCGCACATCTTTACCTCAAATAAACCGCAGACTACATACTCAACTGCTACCAAACTTTAGTGTTGCCAAGCAACAAAACTCTTATCTGCCACCTACACATTATGGGATGTGTGGGAAACCAGTGTTCATGCCAGTGTAACTATAAAAAGAATGCATGTATCAGTAAGGATCAGTTGTTCAATGCATTTACTTATAAAGGGCCAGGCCATAATGCATATTTCATTGTTGGAAGTTAAACTATTACTTGTATGAGTTTGCACAAGAGAAGGTGACAGTAATTGCCCACACATGGCATATTATGTCAAGTGCAGTATGGGTATTTTATTAGTTTATGTTCAAACAAAACCTTTTCAATGCAGTGGCATTTTTAAACAGAAGCTGACACTTTTCTCAAATTCAAACCTATTCATTTGACTTTTTTTAAATAATAGAAGGCCAACATAAATACTCATCAGCATGGATATAGAAGAATGTAAAATAGGCCCCAGATTAATTCCATTTTGGATAAAAGGCTTTCATTCAGTTACAGTATTTAACTGATCCCTCTGTGAAGCACCCCTCTGACAAAGGCGCTGATATGGAAACAAATACGAAAACAACCAACCTTTTCCAAGTGAAACAATGAGGGTGTCACTTGCCAGAGTAAAATATACACAACTAAAAATTATTTTCAACAGCACCACAAGGTAGCTTGTAGTCATGCCTTATGCATGCCGTTAAGTCTTTAACCAACACTGTAGAGTAGATGATGGCACAGTCCGAGAAAGCAACTATCAAGGCACAGAGATCACTTAGTGAAGAAAGCATCTTGCGACTTATTGACATATCATTTCAGGCCTCTGCAGGACAGAAATCATGTTGATCTTTCTCCATTAAACAAGAATTCAGTGGTTTTTGGGGGCCAAGCTCAGATGTTTCAATCAGACCTCAATGTTGATTTTAGCAAAGCGGTAATGCAGGGAGGCGGGGTTGCGCAGCAGCAGCATTCCTCTGTGCTCCATCGGCTGGTTGACAAGGGTGTTAAGGAGACCGGCAACACTGACAAACCCCAGAGCGTCCCCACAGCCTGCAGAGAGGGAGAAGTCGCCCTGAGTGACCCAGCCTAGAGTCAACCGGGAGCAGTGAGAGGTAACACTTGGCAGAGGATCCGGCCACAGCCCGAAGATACGGTCCGAGGAAGACTTAGGAGAGGATTTGGGGTCTTCGGATGTTGTGGGGTTTGGTTCAGAGCCAGAGGGAGGGTTTGACTCTTTGCCTTCGGTCTTACTAGACAAAGAGGATGTAGCAGCTTTCTTGGGGCCCTTCTTCCTGCGTTTGATTCTGCTTTTAAAGTGGTCTCTGTGCGGGGGCTCCTGGGGGCCACTACTGCCAGGCCCTTTCTTCAGCAGCTGCAGGTCCTCCGCAGTTGGCACACACACCATGGCGTGGAGCTCTGGTTTGCCCTTTGACAGCAGTGACAGGCGGACCCACACCAGACTCATCCCGTGTGCTGTGAGGAACGACGTGGTGGCTGAACGGTCGAGAGGCGGCAGCTCCCTAACACGACAATGCCTTTGACCTTTAGATGTTGTGGGTTTGCACCAACCAGAAAGCAGCCTCAGTGACTTTGTGTTCCTAGGAAGCATAAAACAAAACCAATATCCACTTTATAATATCTACTTATATCAGGCGATTAATAATCAAAAGGAAAAGTTACATTTTCATTGGCCCCATTAAGCATCCTGAGAAACATACAATTTGGTTGCAGAACATTTTTTCATTCCTAATGCTGAAAACAAAAAGGCAGCCAATGGACAGTGAAAATCAATCCAATTTTTTGCTCATAAAGTCAGTCATTACTCAGAGCTTGTGTGATGGTTTTATGAGGATAGATGCAACTCTTCCCCTCTACTAATCTCTGTGATGTATTGCAGCAATTTAAGGCTGGATGTACTTTGGGTATTCTCATCAGGGACATTATGATGAAAGGGAGGTAGACTGGAGAAGCACCATGCATCAAGTCTGTCAAAAGCTGCGCTGGGGTCTCTTAATAAAAAATAGCAAAGTAGAAAGTGATGATTAGAGCCCAAAGCCCCAAAAAACAGTGCACATTCCTCCTCAAGGGACCTTTAAAAGTCAACGGCATTAATATTGTTAGGGGTGTGATTTAGATGTGCAGGATGTTCAACGTCTGAAGGGAGCTTGGCGGAAACTTCCAGTGGGTGTGTGTTTTAAGTCAACACTGATATGAGTTTATTTTCACAATAAGACAAGGGAGAGGATAAAAAAAAAAAAGAGAATCTTCAGTAAAACATGAATATGAAAGAGGTAAAGACAAACATTTACCTCAGTACAGTGATGCGGCTCGGAGGCTTCGTTACAGTGATATCTCTATGTGATGTCACCTCCTCCTCCATCTCTGTGTCAGCCTCTGTTGCGGTCCCAGTCTGGCCGTCTCCTTTCCTATCCTCTCCTCCTTCCCTCAAGATAAGCTCCCACTCCTCTGCCAGCTGTTGCCACGGGCAACGGAACGGTGCCAGACAGCCATGTTTGATGTAATTGGTCCTTTTGGCGGGCGGACGCCTACAGAAGAGGTCAGGAGGTCAAACCCTTGTCAAACTGTTGGGTCAACCCTGCCAATTTATGTAACAAATTATGACTGCTTAGCCACGGATAGTAGAGGAAGAGCAGCGTGCAGCCTTATTACCATCTCATCTGCATGTTGGGAAAGATCTGCATAATGGAAATTAACTGGGGTCAGAGCTTTGGAGTGCTTCCCTCTATCTAAACCTCTAATCCACTGACATTCTCACCACTTACTTAGGCTGCAGGCTAGCGAATATTATCTTTTCCTGAGCAGATGATCGTACATTTATACTGTAACAGACCACTACAAGGCTTCTTTAGTTTCACCGTAGTATCATCATCATCCAACTTTGTTATTTTTTTTAACTAAAAACATTTTCTCACAGTTTAAAGGGTCATTTCAAGTTTGCCAACAGCTGATTAAAATATATTGTTTTAACACATCCATCAGTAAAATGGACCTTCTATATTTTGGGCAAGTTCTTAAGATTCTGTTTTCTATCAGCAGGCTGACATACTAATAGATGCCAAAATAATATTATAAGATACACAAAAGCTTTGGCAGCACAAAATGTCCCCACTGAAAACAGCCCATACCATGTTTCTGATAATAATCACACACAGCATTACTATTTTTGGTTCCTTTCTGGCTCGGTCTACAGCTGACCTTTTGAACTTGTCCAGGAGTTCTGTCTCCTGCTCCTCCTGGAAGTGGACGCCTGCAAAGCAGTCTGGGTAGTCATGGGGGAAGTGGGGGGCTCCTTTATTCTGAGAGTGTTTCAGACTCATGTTCAGCCCTCCGATGCGGACTCCTCTGTACACCTGGCAAAGGGAGAAACAAGGTCAGATAAGAGTAAACACTGGATTTCAGGGAGCTTGGCATATAAAGCCAACCTGAGGGTTTCTGGTCTGCCTTCAAAATTTCAAGGTACATTTAACATTTTTACAAAACATGCCTCAAAACATGGACGAGGCAACCAAATAATGAAAACATAGTTCACAGAGCTTTTCCTATGGACATCCGCTGTATTATACACTGTATACATGCAGCCTACTGGGGGAAAAAAACTGCTACCTCCTGCCAGAAATGAAAACATAATTTGAAATTCCGTTAAATAAAAACACTGTCCGTGCTACCTACCAGTGGGACCCAGAAGGCCATGCCCCATCCTTTAGGAAGCAGCAGGTCCCATCCAGCACCCCAGGAGCTCATCTCATGTCCCACCTGCTTGCCAGGCTGGTGAACCAGTAGGATGGGGACTCGGCCCTGCAGGGGAGTGGGGCTCAGCCTTGAGCCAGGCACCAGCACCTCACTTCTCATCCGGTTCAACTCCTGCAGGCAATAAGCAGACAATGCTAGAGGTAATAGCAACATCTAAGCTTGGCTGTACTTTCAGAAATAGAGATGTTAGCAAAAGATGTGAAAAAAGCTTTAAGATAGTAAATAATGCACCTTACTTTTTAAGCATATCTATACTATAATACATAATAAATGCGATTGCTGTATGACATTTCTGGTAGTAAGAAACTGATAAACTACCTGCTCTGATATCTTGTTATCAGTGACATTGTCCCGGACAGACTGCTCCCACAGGTAACTCTGACAGCAGTGTTCAGATACTCCTCGCAACATCAGCTCCTTCCTCTTCTCCTCGTCCACCTCTGAAACAAAGCCACAGCACACACACACGGCATGCTCCTGTATGACCGGCATTACTAGTGTCAACAGAGACATACGAAGCGCTCTTGTCTGATTTATAACTTGACATCTAAATGAGCAGTGGATTGATTGCCCATTAATGAAACACATGGGGTGGAAACAGGAAAATGCTGTAACAGTCCCTGATTTACATGTTATTATTAACATATGATGCCCCCTAATGTGGTTTAAAATAGGGTTTAAAATGCTGCTTTGTTACAGAGTACATTACAATATAAATACTGTATTTTTAGTGTGTGCCTGTTCTCTAAAAGGAGATAAAATAAATAATTATTCAATTATATTGTTTCAATTGTGTCTGGTGGTGATCAGGTTTGAACATAGAAGAATTTAGTGAATTAAGGCTTTTACATCCCCAATTATTTGAAAGTCTA